TACACATACACATACACATACACACACACACACACACACACACACACACACACACCAAAATTTAATTAAACCAGATAGGAACTGAATCTGAATAGGAAAGTAAAATTAAGGGGTGTCCTTGGTGTTCTCTGAGCTTGCTTGTTTTCTTGCAAACATTTCAATACCCAAAATAGGCAACATCTTCAGTGTTAGTCATTACCTAGTTTGGGTAATGAAATGTCTGTGAGAAAATAAGCAAGCTCTGAGAGCACCAAGGATTCTTCTTCATTTGAGCTACAAATATTTTTCTTTATAAGTAAAATTAAGTCTGGTTTAAAATTTGAGTTACAGCAATTCATCTATTCAATGGTTTGTTTTAAATATTTTTACCACCTGTTCAATGGCCATGGCTTGGTGGGTGCATTTGTGTGCGCATACATACTTTGTGCAGGATCAGAGGCATTTTGAGTCACATCCTGCAATCCTGCACTCTCCCTGATGCTTTAGCAACTCCCACATGGCAACTGCTGTGCCGCGCAAAGCAGCTGCACTTCAAAAGCAGGACATAAAGGTTAGGATGACAGCCTGGGTGGGCGGGTGGGTCTAACACAGAGCATCAGAGAAAACTGGTTTGGTCTCCCCTGTTCATTGCTGCCGGTAGAATGCCACCACTGCATCTATTGTCAAAATTAGGTCTACAATGAGGACCAAGCTTAATTATGTTCACTGGAAGGCCAATAGAACACTATGATTGGTACTTTGGAAGATTTAGGAGATTTTTAGTTGATACTTTGTAAAGATTTTTTTTTAATAAGCTATAAGAAGGCTGCTCATTAAAGGTTTAATGTGAGTTGTTCTGCTAATGCCCAGGATACATAGTGGGAGAAGTTCTGCCTAACAGAGTTTTTATGATGCTTTTGGATGGATGAGATATACTTCCTTTTAACTTTTCTTTCTTTTTTTTCTCCAGCAGTTGTAATGGTCCTGAATAGTATGAGTGTCAGTTGGAGTGCCCGCCTTCAGATTTTCCTAACCTTTTGCAAACTTGTAGCAATTTTGATAATTATAGTCCCTGGAGTTATGCAGCTAATTAGAGGTATGAACTGAAAAGTAAATGCTATTTTATGTGCTTTCATCTCCCTCCTTCCCATTCTTGCCCCTACCAAAGAGTGCTTATGCTAGCAAAAATATTTTAATTAGTCTCTGCTTGTTCAATTTAAGTTCCATACTGTCAGGTAAATAACTGGAAGTAAAACTTACATTGCAGCATCTGGCTATGAGATCATATTGAGTCTCCATCTATCATTTTTAAATGTTGGACCAAAAGATTGTTTCTTGCAGCAAAATCAAAAACAAGCAACTAGGGTCTCAGAGGTTTTTGTAATGGTGGAAGATTCAAGCTTCTATACTATGTGTTTTATATAGAACAGTGTAGTGTATTTATAATACAACTTTATAGCCTTTCTCTTTATTGGAAACATTCTTGTATAAAGCACCACTCCCACTAATTGGTATTCATTCTTAAAATGTTTCTTAAGTAGAATGTTTAAAGTTCTTTAAGTAGATAAATGAGTTCTATTCCTTTAGACTGCTGTTGGTGACAGTAATGCTTGTAGCAGATGCAAGTCATAATGTAAAAACTCTAATGGTGTGGATTTAGTACAAAATAATATGTTATTGCCATTATTCCAACACTGTATCTTCATTATGAAAACTTTTTTGTCATGATTTAATTCAGCTATATGATAAGGTAGTAACCAAGATTTTGGTTCCTGACTTCCCTTTTCTCTTTCTGTATGTGTGAAGGGGAATAAAGCACAGTATGTATTATGTCACAATTTCTGTTAGATAAGTTTTGTAATTTGTCCAAGCTATGGTGATTAATGAAGCAGGATCTGAAATCATGTGATGACTAACAGTTCAAACCATATTTTCTCATTTACTTGCTCCAGATTAAAAAAACCCACAGAAAAGCAAAGAAATAAGTGCCAAAACATTATAGCATGATGTGTACATTATGTCTATATGTGCATACACATCTACACATCTAAACAGGCAGTGATGGGTTCATGCACTGTCTGTGTTCTTGAGTTTTAAAAAATGGTATTTTCAAGGATGGCTTCACTGTAAAATTGGGAAACCTTAAAGGGATACAATTAAGAGTAACTTCCTAACTGGTTAAGTTTATCAGAAGTAAAAAAGTTAATGTTTATTTTCAGCAGCACTGTTGCATCGTTAAAGAATCTTTCAAGATGTTGATACAAACATTGGGCTGCAATTCTTGGACCACACATTGCAATAAGTTCTCCAAAATGTTCCCAAAATAGCATGGGGAAATAAAAAAATATTAAAAAATGTAAGCTATTGTTTCAGGTTTCTGCCCCCTGAAATTTAAATTAATCTAAAAATGCAGATTGTGTTCTGAATGCATTCATACTGGAAGATGTAGTCAGTTATGTTACACCTGGCATGCAGGAACAAAAAACTATTTTGGGTTTATCTAAAGGATTGGTCGATAAAACCTAACTGGAAAAAATTACTGTACATGGATTTATCTCTGGGTTGTTGATATTGGTAATATTTTAACCTTAATAAAATTGAAATCAACCTTGGTATGTTTTTTTTTCTTCCTTCAGGGGAAACTGAACACTTTAAAGATGCATTTTTGGGGAATGGAGCCAGTGTCAAAGGATTGCCTCTAGCTTTTTATTCTGGAATGTATGCTTACTCTGGTTGGTAAGTTATACCGCTGATTTACTGAATGGCTTTTGATTAAGAACCTTCTTGCGAAATAAATTCTAACCCATAGAGACATTGCCTGCAGTTTTCCTTTAGTGCCTCTTTGAAGCTAAACATGGGGTGGGAAGAGATCCTGTTCTAGTGAAACTTTTTATATGTGAACTCCGAAACAGGAAGTTTCAGAGACAGATTCAGAGTTATCTGAAATTTCAGGGTGCCCTAGAAAAGTTCCAAATATATGACAAGGTTTAATTTCTTTGATTCCATAGGAGGAACCAAGAAAAAAAGTGCTATCAGGGTTTCAGTACAGTAGATAAGATTATACTGATTTCATTTGAATTAGTTTTCCTATGTTAGAGTCTCAATTATACTAGACCATAAAGTGGCTTCTTTAGTTTGAGTTTATAGAATGCTATGAGAATCCTGCCACTAGTAAATGCCTTTGTTTGTTTATAAATTAAGTTCTTTTGATTTAGGCAAGAAATCGTATATACCTTACTTTGAAATATAATCTATACAAACTTCAAAGTGGCATGCAATAGATCTCTTGTGATATAGCAGATTAGAGGGGTCCTTGGTGCACTCTGAGCTTGCTTGTTCTCTTGCAGACATTTCATTACCCTAACTAGGTAACATCATCAGTGATAGTAAGGAGTGTTTACTTATTTCCAATTTTGTAGTTGGTCCTATATCATAAATCTGGTTAGGCTTCTCCTCTTACACCACACTTATTTCATGCACATATTAAGACAAGCTATTCAAGTAATGTATAGAAATGGTCATAAAAATGATGGCGTTAACAGCAACTTTGTTTTTATAGGTTTTACCTCAATTTTGTAACTGAAGAAGTGGAAAATCCTGAAAGGCATGTATCCACCCCTTCTTAATTTTTTGCAAAATTCTTAAACTTTTAAATTTATATTGCTGGTTAAAAAGTGGGAAAAGGTTAATATACAAACCCTATGTTTTGTTTAAGAATATCTTTTATGATGGTCAGATTGTTTTTGTTTTGCAGAGTCTAAACATGTTGTTGCTTCAAACTTTGCTATTTTTGATTTGACTTGTCCTGAGTAATAAGCAAGTAGATCTGTAATCTTCCTTTCAGTAATATGAGATCATTTCAGTGGCTGGGCCCCAAGGGAGAGTTAACATTCTAAATGAAGATTTTGTAACATGTTATAGCTTGGATATAAGTCAGCCAAATTGTTTTGTGATTTCATCCTACTAAGACCCAATTTAAATAAGGAAAGACCCTGTGGATAACATTCATGCAATTAAACCATTTATGTGCAGACTTAGTATATTAACAATCTGAGTCCTATGAAAATGTTTTACTGGACTTTTAGCATTGTTTGTAAATTATCCATTGGATACATAAGATTTTTTCAATAAGGACTCCCTGAGTTGGGGTTATAGTGAATATTTATATGCTTCCATCCACCATGGTTGTCTGATGTTTAAATCTAATTGGGAAACTATTTAAGGATTTTGGAATTGTGATAGAACCTTATTACCAGTCTAATGTAGTAATGTTGTTATGTTTTCTGGAACAGATATAAGTTCAAATTTGGCAACTTGCAATCCCAGAGCTATAGACTGGCTTTCCTCCTTTTTGCAACTCCTAAAGTTCTATCCAAAACTCATTGGTATTATGGTTGAAAATTAGCAAAATGATTTCATACAGCTTTGAAGTAGGCCAACTTGAATATTTAAGATCCCTAAGTGTATTTTGCCTGGTTCAAAACTAGCAAAATCCTTTTCCATTAGCTCAAAATTGGAAAAGAAATAGAAAAAATAATAATAATCCCACCCACATACCAATTTTAATTATTGGCTCATCCTTCAGAAATATTAACTGTGTGCCTGAAGTTGAAGTCTTGTGATGTAGGCTAAAGTATTATATAGTTGCATGGAGATCCAAGAGCAGCAGGGGCTGTGGTGGGATTCAATTTTTTTTACTACCAGTTCTGTGGGTATGGCTTGGTGGGTGGGGCAGGGGAAGGATACTGTAAAATCTCCAGTCAGAAGTGGTATTTGCTGGTTGTCCGAACTACTCAAAATTTCTGCTACCAGTTCTCCAGAACTGGTCAGAACCTGCTGAATGCCACTTCTGAGCAAGGGATACTTTTGTCAGGAAAACTTAAGATTTACAAAAGACTACTAAAATAATACACAGCATAGCTTTCAAAACTAAATGATAGAAAGTTCTAAAACTCTTCATTTTGCAAGATATTGAAAAAAGCCTGTATCAAGGAAAAAGACGGAAAATATGGCCAGTATGTTTAAGTGTGATCCATATAAACTAGCACACTGAAATGGATGGAGGAAGTCTGTACATGGGCAAATTTGTCTTATTAGACACAGAAATGATAGCAGATTGCATTTTGCTTATTTTCTTGGGGAATGTTGTTGCTATCTGTTTTGTACAGATATGTAATTTTCAAGTTCATTTGAATTGGTTCCAAAGAATGTTTCAAACCTTGGTTATTCAGGCCTAAACAGCAGGCTGTTTGCATATTGTCCACTATCAATTCCAGATTTTATTTATTCTGTCAAAGGTGCATGGTGACTCAATACAGATGTAAACTTCTATATAGAAATTGGGGAAGCTCCATCTTTAGCTGTAATCCTTTTGTTTGGAAAAATAAGTACTTGCAAAAATCTGAACAGGACTCAGAGAAAAGAACAGAGAAAGGGAAAATGGTTAGGAACTGCTTTTTCTTGCCACAGAAAGTTAGATCAAAATTAATAGATAAAACTTGCAGATAATTTTATTTTATTTAAAGAAAAAGAAAAACCTGTGACAGTAAGATCTTACAACAGTAGAATAGATGCAGAATTTATGGTTGTTCCATCTCTAGAGGCTTTGAAACCAAATAATAATTGTGAGTGATTAAACTGATTTTCTTACACAATGCAGAGAATTAGACTGGATGATGCTTACATTGTCCAACAATTTCACAATTGTAAAATTATATGAATTATATCTACATATCAAGTAAAAAGTGCATGCTACACATTTCTTGGAAGAAAGGTGAAAAAAAATGTATTCACATTTTTGCATGGACCTTTTAGCCCAAGTTGGCAAATAGTTTGGAAACAAATTAAAACAAAGATGAAATGTAGAAAATAAGAAACTTGACAACATTAGCATATTTTACAATTATTAACATCTGTAATAATAGAGGGCCAATTGGTGAAGACCTCACCCTCCACCCAGAAGGTTGAGAGTTCAATCTTAGGTAGCAGGAGATATTTTTGTCCTAGGCACAAAGAACAAATATCTGCTGTGAATGTATTGTGTCAGGAGGGGCATCTCATCAGTAAAACACTCAACTGTTAGCTGCTTTGGCATCCAAGAAGTAGACATTGTTTCAGAGTCAAGAAAGGTTGAAGTGTTTGGAAAAAAACGTTAATCTAAAAGTACCCTAGGATAAAATAATATCTTTTTGTAGACTTTACAATTTTGGGGATCATGCTTATCATGTTGAATATCTGTGTAACCTCACTGTGAAAAGATATATACATTAACCAACTAAGCAGCCAATGAATATTTTGGGCTGAGGGGATTAGATTATTGTATTATTGTAGTCTAGCTTGCTTTACTGTGGACCTTTTATTTAAATCTTCTGTCAGAGCAGATGTTCAAGTTCAAAATTGCTGCAGAATTTCTTTCATAGAGGATTTTCCATTTAGAATCAATACTATAGCCATAAATAACATCAGTTCTGTAATTGTTCTAGATGTAAAATTGGTAATATTTTGTAACAAACTATATATGAAAAATGCTGCCTGGAACATAGAAGTGCATAAAGATTTTGTCTGTCTATGTTTTGCTAGAATAAATGTTTGCTTCAAAATTAGTCACAATTATGTTTCCAGGTGCACTTCATGATGCAGAAGAATGGCGATTCATATTTCTGTCACTGGGTCATGCCCAAACAATAGTAATTACGTTTAATATTGCAATGACTGCATACTGGAAAATAATTATGTGGCCAAGACTAATATTTGCACCTGAAGAAATAAATCTCTGTAACAGAAGACATATATTGAATTAGAGTTAAGTCATTCAGCTAAGTTGAACCCTTTAAAGATTTATGTATGTAACATCTTTTGAAGCCTCCCATCTCTTTTTTTCCTCCTTTGGTTTGGAGCAAACACTATTTCATTTTGTTACACTACTGCTACATTACTCAAGTGGTAAAGGATAATTAAGCAGCCATTTAATAAAAAACAAGATGATGGAAAAGAATAAGATGGTACAAGAATAATTTAATTAAATAAATTGTACAACAATAATTGATAACCAGTTTGATATAGCAGTTAAAGGTGTCAGCTAGAGACTTTGAGAGTATGGGTTCTGGTCCAGGAAGAGAGCTGAGTGACTTTGGGTCAGTAATTTTCTCTTAACACTTAGAAGAAAAAACTGGCAAACCACTTCTGAAAACTGCATGGGCTTTTCTAGGCACTTACTAAGAGTTCAGTCAAAGGCATAACAACAACCTTAATCCAATAAGAATGAAGTACATTCTTGACTTATTGACCATTTGAAGTTACAACAGCATTGAAAAAGTGATTTATGACAGCTTTTAGAACTTATGACCATTGCAGCATCCCCATGGTCATGAGATGATGCATTTATGACATTTGCAATGTCCTGAGCTCATGTGATCTCATCTGTCTAGCAATGGAAATTTTAGACTCAGTTGTAGATGCACTACCTGTATATAAACTATCAAGCTTTATAATTAGGACATTAAATCCCAACCCAGTAAAACATCCATCTTCTATATATTTTAAAGCATTTTTTAAAATATCTGGGTCAATTAAAATGTGATGTTAGGCTATAAATATAACATCCCAACAAATTGATCTAGATATTTGGTATCAGGAACTGCTTCTAAAGTTTTTAGCTCGGAATGAAAAACATGTAAAGAAAGAAAACAATAATGCTTGAGGGCAACATTCTTTAAAAGTCAGAATGAACAGAAACATAGATATTGCTATGCTAGGAGTTCTGTTAAAGAAATATAGAGCAGAATTCTTTATTTACATATGAAATGGAGCTTTCAGAAGTTTACAAATGATCTGTTTCTGTTGTTAAATAACTTTGAGGCCGTTCTATCAATTTATCATTGTTTAAAAAGTTACACTGTGAAAGTAATGTATTATTGAGATGTATAGTATTTGTAAGCCTGCTCTTGGGTTGATAAATCATGTCTAGTGCCTGTAGAAATCCAAAGAATGAATTGCTTTGTTATAACCTTGAGGGGTCTTAGATTAGTCAGTTTGTCTATTAGACTTACTGCAGTCTACTTCTCACTTCATTTATTCATTCTGTTCTTGAAAGCTGGGATGCTGCAGATTTGTTGCCAGGGTTTTTATGTCATTAGTCATTTTGGAAAAGCAAAATATCAGACTAGCTCCCATAATCTTTTTCATTTAAAAAAACAGGTTTAAATAATATGACTGTCATATTTAATTAATATACTGTCTGCTTCCTATTTATATTAATTGATGCCTGGAAGTCTTAACATCTGAAGTCAATGAGAAATGGGCAGACAAAGCAAAATCATGAATATATTTCCAGTTTTAATAATATTGACAATATATTAATTTATATAACTTAACACATAGTAAATTCCAACTCTTTCAAAAACTTTGAATGCCATATTCTAATGCATCTAATTAAATCACTAGCTCTCATGATGCTTTAAAGATCAATCCAGACATACCTAATTGATAATCTAATAATCAATTAGTTATCAAATCTATATGGCTGCACATCTCACACAAGGTGACTCGGTGACATATAATAAATCAATTAAAACAATATAAAAATCAGTTCAATCAGTAAAAACA